CCCAGCGTGCAATATTGTATGTTTATGTTTTTAACAGTCCGATTGGTGGTAAATCAGATTTTAAAAATAGTATACCCCAAGATGGATTATAGATGGGTATATATAATCCCATATATACACTAAGAGGGTATATAAGGGATGAGTAACCCTTCTCTCACATTATTTCTATTAGCTACATGCTCAGGAGTATGGACCAGTGACTTTAAATGATATTATACGGCCTGGCTGGAGTGGCTCTGTGGCTGAGCATTGTCCTGTGCACCAGGAGGTTGCGGGTTCGATTCCCAGGCAGGGCACAGGCCTGGGTTTCAGGCTCGATCCCTAGCAGGGGGCGTGCAGGAGGCGGCCGATCGATGTTTCTAACTCTCTCTCTTCCTCTCTCTCTCTAAAAACCAATAAAAACATATTATTAAAAATTTAAATGATACTGTACGTTTTATAAGCATGTTATACATTTGGTTGTTACTGAATCTTATGAATATCAGTTTCAAGTGTTGTTGGTAACAGAAAAAGGATACTATTGTATCCAAATGCATGATCAGCACTGAGAGCAAGATGATTGCTTTAAGACACTGAAAATAGCATTTCCGCCAAGGAGGTGGCCACTGCACACCACCGGGCTGTCTAATGTAGCTTCTCTCAAATCCTTCTTATTTAGGAAATTAAAACATGGACCCTCAAAAATGCTAGGCTTACGATGGGAAATGTCACAATCCAGCGTTTGCTCTACGGGACCTTGACATTCGGGGTCTTGTTGGCTCTGTTATATGTACCTTTATACCACTACCAAGTGAGCAGCGTGGGGAAGGAAACCCAGAAGCCTGCATCCATTTGGTACCTTGAAACAAGGCTGCAACGGCAGATTATCCACGGCTCAGGGGGCATACCAGGAGAACGCGTAATATTTGAAAGACCTGACAGATATGGAACTGAAAAACTGAATCTACATTTAAAATTAGGTAAGTATTTTCATTTTTCTCTGTTAGCCATTTTCAGGGGAAAATATGCCATGTAGAGGGTGTCCCCAAAAAAGTACACACACTTTTTTTTTGTTTTTTAAGCCTCACGGAAAATATTTTTTCCATTGATTTTCAGAGAGGATGAAAGGGAAAGAGAGAGAGGGAGAAACGTCGATGTGAGAGAAACACATGGATTGGGTGCCTCCCCCGCCCACCCTGAATGAGGCCAGGGGTGGGGCCTGTGACCGACATACGTGCCCTGGGCAGGAATCGAACCTGGGACCCTCCAGGTCGCTGGGCGAAGCTCCAACTGAGCAACTGGCCAGGGCTGTATTCGCTCTTTTACAGCTGATAACCCACTTAATTTTCACTCCTTTCCGGATTTAAATGATTTGAAATAATGGGTGAAGCCAGACTAAGCGTTGAACAAAAAAAAACTTATCCTAAAGTGCCACTAGATTTTTTTTTTTTTTTAAATGGGGATACTTAAAAGATAAAGTTTATGGTACAAAACCCGGCAACAGTCGACAAATTGAGGGTCCACAAATACCGCACGAAATGATCCTTGATGTTTGCGGTTCCATCGCTTCGCGTTCTCAGCAGGGCCTGGACCAGACTGGTCATTGGTTTGAAAACAGACGTTGACCAAAAAAGAAAAAAAAATTCATTTCTGCAGATTCTTTTAAATTTTGAAAATGAGCTGTATGTCAATAAACACTGACTTTATAACCATTCAAAGTGCGTATACATTTTTGGGGGACACCCTGTATTTACTATTTGGAAGAGCGAGAGAGTGTCCTTTTCAGGGCAACTCACTTTTTAAAGTATGAAATGTTTTTATATACTCTATACGGAAAATAATAAAACAGGTGTGGTATGTATTTAGCACTTGAATTTTACAATTTAAAAATATAGTTTGTTATACTTGTTTCAGACAGCTTTCTGTTTTTCACAAAAATAAATTGTAATAGGTACAGTTAAAAACATCACCCCTGTATCAAAGTGATGGTAGTAAGCCAGTACTTAGTGAGCCTAATTACCTTTTCTTGTAGGTAAAAACTTTAACTATACAGACCCAGAACTTCTTTTAGGATTTCTCACGTATGGATTTAATACCGTTCTCAGTAAAAGGTTGGGCATCAAGAGAGATGTGCCAGATTCCAGGAATAAAATGTATGTTTCTCTCTTTTTCTTGTTTTGTTTGGATTGAGATATAACTGACATATAACATTATATTAGTTTCAGGTGTACAACATAATGAATTGATATTAGCATGTATTGTAAAATAATCACAATAAATCTAGTTAACACTGGTCACCATACATAGTTACAAAACATCTTTTTTTTCTTGTGATGAGAACATTTAAGATCTTCTCTCCTGGCAGCTCTTAAACATGCAACATACAGTGTTATTAACTATAGTCGCCAAGCTGTGCATTACATCCCAGGACTTAGTTATTTTATAACTGAAAGTTTGTATCTTTTGAGCCCCCCCCCATTTCATCTCCCCTCTGCCTCTGGCAACCACCAATCTGTTTTCTGTATCTAGGAGCTCTGGGGTTTT